CTACCAAACAGACCACGCCGGCATCGACCACGAAGGAATCGACAACTACCAAACAGACCTCGAAGGATTCGACAACGAAGGAATCGAAAGCGAAGAAGCCAAAAACCAAAGAAGAGACGACAAACGCCGAAAAAGTAGCTTCGGACGCGTCGCCGTACGTCGGTTCGACAGCGATGCCCAACGACATGACGTTCGGAACACGGGCGTCGCTTTCAGGCGACCACTGGGAAACTCTGTCGATGACCACAGGACGGACGTCGACGTAAGTTTCTATCTGAAATTGTCGTCCTTGTATAACGGGCGGATCCTGCACGCGTCGAGCATGAAGAACATGGATTTCGTCTGCATCTCCGTCATTAAAGGAAAAATGGAATTCTCCTTCGACGCGGGATCCGGAAAACGGACCATCGCCCATTCGCATTTACTTTCGAACGGGACGTGGCACCACGTGAGAGCGTACAGAAACAGCAGCGCCTTCGGATTGTTCGTGGACGGCGAAGGTCGACAAAACGTCTTCGGCGAATATTTTCCGTTCGAAATTCTTGACGTGGACCGTGACTTTCGCCTGGGAGCTTCGATGATGTCGTACTCGGTCGTCGAGTGTTTGGCGGACTTCGACTTTGGCGGATGGAAACTCGTCGGCAACCCTCTGGAGACGTGCTCTCCGTCCGAAAAATTGGAATCGTCGCGACACTCGCCTCCGCGTTATCCCGATCCGCCGTCTTCGACGTCCGAACGCGTATCTACCGCAACGGCGTTCGGAGTTCTGTTGAGCGTGCTATTAGTCTGTTCGACGTTAAAAATTTACGGTTAGAATAAGTTTTATTTTATATAGTATTTCAATTAAAGAAAAGAAGAATATCGTATATTTGTTTGCTGTGCGTGTTTTTTTATTTACGTTGTCGTAACTAGTCGACGGCCATTGTCGGGCAATCCAAACAATGAAGACCGTCCTAGTCTTGGCGGTTCTGACAACGATCCTTTGTTTCGGGAAAGGCTCTATCCTCCAGATAGACAGGAACTTCCTGGTCGTCAGACCCTTCTCGACGTTTGAGCTGAGATGCTACCACGGCAAGAAAAAGGCCTTGGACGTCCGTTGGCAGTTGCTGAATAAGAGAGTGGGCTTCGCGACCGTTCACGTCACCGAAGACCTGACTACCAGCATGCTGAAGGTGGTCGGAGTCGACCTCGACGCTTCCGGAATCTACTCGTGCTATTCCAACGATTACTTTTCCGCTTCCAGAACCTGGAAGACGAGTCACCGGAACGCTCGCGTTGTGGTTGCGGATTCCTTCGTGATCGATCCGGCGACGACCGCTTTATCCGAGGGATCCCGGAACTTCCGAACATCGTGGGTGATCAACAAACCGTGGTACGGCACGACGCCCGGTTTCTGGTACAGAGTGTGCTTCGGCGTAAAGGGACCTCTCCCGAAGGAGATTCTCGCAACGATGGTACCTTGTGCGTCGAATAATATGGCGGTCGTTGCGTTGTACAGCGATCTGGGAATAGAAGCGGACCTCAAAAATTGCAATTTGTCGAAAAAGTCGATCTGTTGCATCCTGCCGGACGATCCGTGTCGTAGGTGGAGCAATGCGAAAGGTGTCATCATCGCAACGGACGCGCGCTCCGTCGCGGAGGGCAGTTCGTTAAACTTGGTGTGCTACTTTTTCCAACCCGTAATCATTACTTGGATTATGCCCAACCCGGCTCGAGAGGAAGAAACGTTGGCCGAAGAGTGCGGGTTGATTCATTCTCTTCGTTTACGAAACGTAACCGCGCGCGACGAAGGTCTCTACGCTTGTTCCGGTTCTAACGGCGTGGTGAGTAACTCGGTGAAAGTTCTCGTCGGCCAGGAAGCGAGACTTTCGACGTCCGTGGACCTGTTCTGTGAAAGGACGACCGCGGTAGATTCGAAGGCGCAGCAGATGGAAAAAGTTTCCTTGTTTCCCGAGGTGCAGATACCGAAAGTCAGGGGAATGATAATCCTGAGATGTACGACGACGCGGTCGACCTTCTCGGTGTCTTGGACGAAAAACGGCAAGGACGTGGGCGACGACACACATCTAGATGTGTATAAGAGACAGGGATTGTACGGTTGCTCGTACGGGCAGAACACGGCGAACGCTTGGGTGGAAATCGCGAAAGCCGACGCACCTCCCCTTCTTGTCGAATATCACGCGAACGTGTGTAAGGACAGCGTGTTCAGCATACCCGACCCCGCCGTCCAGGTGAGAAGAAACGGCTCTCTCGCGTCACGACCACAGGGTCGTCGGCATCCTGGAGCTTCCGACTATTGTCGAAAAAGCGAAAGTTTTCGCGACGATACAAGAAGGAAACGAGAACTTCGTAGTCAGCCGAAAGGTTCGGGTGTACAGGAACGGCGACGAGCCGATAATGAAACCCTCGACGTTCGGATGCGACGAAAGGCCGATCGAATATCTCGGCGTTCCTCTTCAATACCGGGAGTCATCCCGCCATTATCTACCGGATGAACTTATGCGAGAATAGATTGTATATTGTGTTTGTGTGTGTGTGTGTCCGTGTAGTAAATAAAGAGACTATCGAAAACTAAATAATTCTTTGTAATCTATTTTTTTTAAATTGGTATATCATATGCATTCGTAATTCAACAACCGTTCGTTCAAGTACTTGAGATACCGATCGTCGAGTTGAACGACGTCGGATAAAGAACCGTCGAATCCCAAATTTCTCAAAAACTCTGCAAATAGTACGAACGCCCGAGCATCGTCCACGTCGACGTTGAAGTGAAGAGACGCCATCACGAACGGCGACTCGAACAACCCGTGAAAGTAGGCTGATGCATTACGAAGTTGACGATTGCCTTGATGCCGCTGTCGTCTGACATGGATCCGTGATCGTCGGAGCCGAGGACGATTGAAAACAGGAACTCCTTCATGTCTTTTCAGGTGGACGTTCGCAGAGAAAGTGATCTCCCTCTTCCGTGTTCGTTCGCTCTAAACTCTTCCGGAGTTCTTCCTTCGCAGAAGAGAAAATCTCTTCGAGGTAACCTTTCCAGGGACCGTGTTCATCATCATCGTAGCGGGCACCCTGCCTTCCGGGAAGATGAGCGGGACGGCGGTAACGATGAACCCGTGTTCGAGGGTCGTCATCCTGTCCACCACTTTGATTTTGACACCGAACGTTTCCGATCGTGAGAAGACGACCCTGTCGACTATCCCGTTGAGACCAATCCTGTACACGAAATCGGCGTAAGCGAACTTCGTCTCTGACACCCAATCTCCAGGCGTCGGGTGCGAAGGGATCGACGTGGAGTTGAAGGAGCCGGACCAAACGTGAACGGTCGTGACGACGTTGCCGTGGAAGGCGACGACGGCATCGCTTTCAGGAAAAGAATGCAAAGTTAGACGCTCGCTGTCCTTCTGCCTGTGCTCTTCCTGAACGGCAATCGGATGTCTGAGGATCACCTTCCATTCTTCGTGCGTCCTCTTACCCGCTAATCCGCCGCTCGCACGTCTCATCACGATCAGAAGGTGATCTCTGTGTCCGTCGACGTACCACAGACAAAGGTCGAAGTGGTGCCGGCAGGCGGCGTGCGCGACGTAGGAATCGACGCCGACCTTTTCGAAGTTCGCGTCCACCTTCCAGACGCCGCCGCCTTGTACGTTTCCAGTTCCTTAGGGCCCCGCCGCTCAGCAGTAGGACGTGTTCGTCGATCCGGCACAAGGACACCGACTCTTTCGTTCGCGGCACCAGCGAATCTGACAATCTGACGAACGTGCCGTTGATCGGATCGGATCGCATCGAGCAACCGTAGTCGAGGCTCCCGTCCGGACAAACCATGTACGCGAGGTTCCTCGCGACCGCAGTTCGGTAAAAAGAAGCGATCATGGAGGAATCCTGGACGTGCACGAATGGACGAACGGAAGGTTTCGGCGGACGGCACGCAGGAGAAGTGCCGAAGTTGCAGTCTGCGGAACGCTGTGGCGGACACCGAGCGTGTCGTCCTCGTTCATCGAGTGGTGCCGGAAGACGGACTTATTCGGTCGCGTCCTTGAAGAGCTGGTCGATGGATGACAGATGAAAGAGCTTGCGGTGGACGCTCAGCAGCACGTCCGGATCGTTCAGCAACCTCGGTCGAATCAGACCGACCAGCGTGTGCTTGTCCCGCTTGCTTTCGCCGGGATTGGAGGTCAGCCACTTCCGGACCAGATGCAGCAAGTATCCTTCGGACGCGTAATAAACGTTTTCGATCTTCGGACCTTCCACCGGATCGTCGTGTCTGGACGTATCGAGCCACGTGGCCAGCTCGTGCCATCGAAGCTCCTGCTGATGAAGCATCAGCTTGCCGAACGTCCTGCACACGGCCGAATCGACGGCATTCATCAGGGTCGGGGAACAGATGCGTACTG